AGCCAGCCAAGCTGGCTGGGGAATTCTGGGAGTTGAAGTCCACTCATCTTAAAGTAGCCAAGTTTGGACAACACTGGTGTAAGTCACTAAAAGATGACAATGACTTGATGGCACATAATCATTCAGTCAATCAGTTTATATCTCTTTCAGTGCTTTGAGATAGTTTTAAACCAATATTATTGTCATTTGAATCCTTCACATATGTAGGTAGAAATTTGGGGGTTATGTGCTGTAGTGCCTTTTACTTTCCAGAGTTTAGATTGCATTTACATGCTTTTCCCTCCCGCTTTAATAATTATTTCAGCTTCATATTTAGAAGTGGGTATTTTTTTAATTTTAGGGATTACAGAAAAATGGGCCAGACCACTAAGATTAAATTAGCTAGGAAAAATGAATATACATAAACAAAAGCTGTTAAGTACTGTAGTTACTATATTAGGATTAGGTTTTCAATAACAGCAGTGTTGTAGTTCCAATTATTTTAGTGTTTGGAACCATAGTTTCAGTTGAAGTCAGTGAAATTTGGATCCCCCTACACTGTCTTTAGAAGTACAACTGCACGCTCTTTAGTTTGCTACGGTATTCTTGGTTCGGTAATTATTCCTGAAGTCCAGAGAAGGCTACTGTCTTGTGAAAATGCTTTGGGTTGTATTGTTAAGTCTCTTTATTGCTCAGGCTAGATGGTTCTGACCCTTTTGATGATGGAGAATGAGGTAATAATTTCTGAAATCTACTCAAGATTGTGCTTACCTAGAATAGATTTCAGCAAGTCATGCCTCATTAGCTAAAGGCCAATCCTCAAGTTTCTGTTTTTTGCTAATACTGTTGTGTAGCAATATCTTTGCATACTGGTTCATAACGCTGCCAAGCAGCTTATATGATGATGGATTTGCCGAACTGCGTGGAGAGGTTCCTGCATGTCCATTGGCCTTTGGTGTGGAGACAGCAAGCTAGTCCCCCAAATAAGCTGTCTTCCCGTGCATGGAACTTTTGCTATACAGAAGCCTTTCTGGCCATTTCTCCCTCTGTGGATAGTGTCATAAAACACCTTCACTGAAATGTGAACCACTTTTGTTTTATTTACAACGAATAGCCCCAAAGTTATAAAATTAGTTCTGTTGCTATACTGGTGCCAGAACGATGTAGCTTGTTGGTTTCCACCTGTTGCTTGAAAACATTTTGCAAATGTCATGTTGCTTGGTAGCTACTTTCAAAGAGTTTGGTTGGAGGTGGAAAAGGATTGACTTGCTCAGCAGCAGGGATTCTGATTGCTACAGCAGTATTAGAATGTCGATATGGTCAGAAAGGTGGATACGTTCAAAGTACGTATCATGACAAGCTTGGGTCCTGGCCTCCCTGCAAACACAAACAGCCTATCTTTTGATTCTTAAATTGCAAGGTGATTTTTTTTTTTTATAGACAAGCATTTTGTCAGACTTTTTGTTTAAGATGTTCTGTAAAATTCACATGGGGCAAGCGGATATAATGGTATGTATCATTTTTTGTTTCGAACTTTCAAAAAGCGTTTCCCCCCATTGTTTCAAAATGTTAAATTAAAAAATCTTTTTTAAAAAATAAAATACATGGAGGAAGAGGAAGACAAATTAAAAATGGGACTTTTCCAAAAAATTCTTTGCCCAAAGAATGGCACTATGTGCTGTATATCCTTAATATATGTGTTACAGTGGAAACAATACTTTCTTGTAGTTCGACCACACCAATGTAGTCCTGCATTTCTTTGAGGACTGTACTCTTTTAGAAAAAGAAAACAACTTTTTACATTATTAATTTAGAAACAGCCCATGCCATGCCAGAGGTTCAGATAATTTCATTCATGGCATGGGGTTATATCTAAATCAATAATTTAAAAAAGTTTTGTTTTGGTTTGGTTTTGGACAACTTAACACTAAACCTCCAAAGGTCATCCAAAACAGGATAGAGAACACTTCTGCTTTGGAAAACCTGCTTAACTTGGACACCGATGAAATTCCCTAATGGGGGAAGGGTATTCCCAAATGCTTGGGAGTCTAAATTCACACACAAATAGCATAAAAAACCCAAGTGTAAAGGTGGTGCATTTCGGATTTGTTTAAATTTAAGATCATAAAAAAGTCTGTGACAGTGTATGACTTTTGAGGTCAGGAGACAAGGGTTCCCACTGCAAAACTCAATATAGTCTTGCAAGGGCTTTATGGACAAAGTATTGCAGCACTGTCATGATGGACAAATATAAAAGCATTCAGGTGACTGATGGAAGAAAGGTTGGCATTTAACTCTGTTTACTGATGATCTCTCTTCCCCTTTCCTCCATGTGTACTTTTTTTTCTCATTCACATACATGCATGCACATAAACAGCCTTTCTAATCTACAGCCATAGACACTCACCTCTCAGTCCCTCTCCCTCTTTCTCAACACACACACACACATACACACACACACAGAGCTGACTGAGCTAAGCTATACAAATGAGCTAGCAATCACAATGTGGATTCTTCTGAGTCAATTGGACTGCATGGTTTGTATCTGCCTTTCCCATCCTGCCACCTTCTAGCTATGTTGGGACCATCTTTCAAAATTCTGAGAGAGCCTGGCTAATTTCTACAACAGTTAAGAAATTGGAAAGATGAAGTCCCAGCTTATTTGGAGGACACTGAGTTGAAGAAGGCTGATACTTACTACGTTTATGAGAAAGCAGCAGGGAAGAGATGTTCAATAGACTTAATTTTATTTTAATTCTCCTTGGCCCATTTGTTGGTTTTCTGCCTGATCTTTAAAGAGCTCTGGTTCCCCAAAAGCTTGATACTGGAGTCCTGGAAAATAGTATAGTTCAGACTTCAGATCAGTATTTCTACTCTGTAATTATAGGCAGAATGCAGGTTTTTGTGAAGGGAATCAATTTTACATTTCACCTTCGTTGTGAAACCATAGAGAATTTAGAAGGAAAGGATTCTATTAGTGGTGGTTGGCAGGTGTTGTTAGAAGTATATACTGAAGGTTGTATCAGCATTACTGCCCAATCAGTGTAAGCTTCTATCCAAGTTCTTTCTGTTCAGAATTTTGGATTTTTAGAAACTTTATATTTCAGTAAGTAGATTGTTGATTTTTAAAAATTGCAAGACAGTGCTCATAGGCATTCTGATTCCCTGCTGTGCATGGCATCTGGACATTTTATTTCCTACACTTTGAATTTTTGTGAAGGAAGAAAAAGGAAGACAATAGAGGAAAGTTTTGCAAAAACATGAAGTTGAGATAACTCAGATGGTTGACCACAGGTTATTGTTAGATGCGAAAAGCAGAGAGATGCACTAAAATAAAAAACAAGACAAGCTTTTCCTTTGCATAGTTACTTAAAGACCATTTTGTATTTTGAGGGCCTTCCCCACTATAACCAGAAATTAATAAAAATTGAGTGCAAGAGAATCTGTGACATTCTAGTGTTAACTTAACTGGAGAGAATTCTCAACCTGATGAGAGTCTAAGGCAGTGTTTCTCAACCTTGGCCACTTTAAGATGGGTGGACTTCAACTCCCAGAAATCCCCAAACCGCCCCTTTTTGTTTGGGGGTTGTGGGGGGGTGGGGGCCCCCCCATTTTAACGTCTCAGGGGGGGGAAAAAACGCTTTAGTGA